ACAAGGCTAACTCTTTCGACTGAAATGTAATGAAGAATATCTTTCAAACACTTCCGAAAACATTGTTCAATACAAAACAGTGTCAAAATCTAGAGAAAATTCATGAAGTCCCCAGGGTAGCAAACTTGAACTAATCAACTCTTTATTCATCAGGACAACACTATCAGAATGAACCAGGGGAAGCTCATAAGTTTTGACAGGCGCACCGGCGCAACAATCGGTGATTGAGAGATTTACAACTGACAAGAGAATGAGAGCGAGCCTTTGCGCTCTCCTTCTCCATTAAGCTGGGTTTAGACATGGCAAGTCAATTGATCAAGTCAGTTGAATTCAACTGACTTGAATGCGAATTGAACGTGTAAACCATGCCATTCAACTGACTTGATCAACTCACTTGAATTGAAAAAAGTTGAACCAGGTTCAACTTTTCAAGAAAAATTGAATTCAACTGATGACTTGCCTAGTCTAAACCCAGCATTACTCTTTTTGCCTGCAATCAGATATCCAAGTGCACAGCGAGAAATGCACGCTTTAGGCACTCACACATCACAAATGTGTCTGCAAGTATGGTACACGTCCAAAGCGTACCAGACTGCTGTTTCCGTGTTGCTCCCGTTTGACGCGTGACTGCTGAATGCTTCTATTACAACTAGCGGTGCAAACCGCCATGCATTGTGGAACATTTGTGGTATATTTGAAGAGGTGATAGAAGGTCAGCTTGGCTTACATCAGGCATTTGACCATTCACAAACTTGCCACCCGCCACCCAAAAAAGATTGGTTTTAGGTGCACTATTTAACGAGTATTGTCATGGTAGTGTTATCGACATGCTTAGAAATCAATTCATAAGGGATTAGGCAGACCATCTGAACTGAATTTAATCCTTATTTAATCAAACCAAGGTCGAAGATTTATAGGAGCCACACTATCACTTGTGGGCTGGAGTAAAGAAGTACAGCTATAATGTGACCATAAAATCTATAAAAATCTAAACGCATTTTTTTTAAATTATTACACCTGTGTTGTGCACAGGTTGCACATGTGGACGCGACGCCACCGAGTTGTATAGATTTTTCTCCTTTAGTTTACTTAAATCTTCGGTTTTTATTAGTTAGGTAGGTTCCGATTCAACACATTGTAGTTTCATTTTTATACCTGTGATCTTGACTTTTTTACCTAGGGATGAGTACTTAAGGGGGTTAGATTTAGATAAGTTCTTTAGTGGGAATGACACTGATGAAGACTGCACATTGTAGTCGAAATACGTATCTGTCATGGATACCAAAATTAATTAAGTGGAATTAAATGGAAGATAACCTTTTTTGTTGTTTTATTTAAGCATTCCGCTAAAAACCCAATTTCATTACTTCAGGTTTTATTTATCAAACGCATACTTTACAACCTCTTCTTGTAACTTACAAGTACAACATATCCTTATAACATCTAATGGTTTCATAATTCAGAAAAACATTTTTTTTATAGCAAGTAAGTGGAAGCAACCCTGCGTAAAAGGTATCCAATTCTAGATAGACATTTTAGAAGGTCCTACCTGCATTGATCGATTCTCTTCATCGACTATCTCTTTCGTTAATACCTAAAAGCTATCCTTTGCTGAATTCTAAGTTCTAAGCGCAAGACAATAACTTCTCCTATTAAACTGTGCGGCAAAAAAAGCACACTCGTTACGCATCATCTTCTCCTTCTGCCGTTGGAGCTTCTTCTTGGACAGCTTCTTCTTCGCTGGTTCGTTCTCGGCGGCCTTGGAGAAAGTCGAGATGAAGAGAATCGATCGAAGCAGATAGGACCTTTTGAAATGTTCATCGAGAATTATTCTACTAAAACGCTCATCAATCAATTTAGATCCAGAAGTAAATAGACATCATGCCATAGACCAAAAGGTGAATCTGGGTTCATTTGGATACCCAAACTGGTTTCGATAGGATACATCCGCCGGTTGGTTCATGGCATGATGCCTATTTTTTAAATGTCGGACGGTACTAGTACATGAGGTCTTTCCGGAACCAGTTCCGGGTATCCGAATATGGTTAGATCCACTTGATGGTGACATGATGTCAATTTACTTCTGGATGAAAAATCATAAGTTAAGGGCAGTCGGACGGTACCAGTACATGAAGTGCTTTTTTGTGGGCCCTGCAGGAACTGGTACCGGGTATCCAGATGTGGCCAGATCCACATGGCATTATGTACAAGCACATATCGTCGATAATAGGCGATTGTTGTGTATCAGAGAACGCTTGCTCAAAAAATACTAGGATGGAAAACGCATTCGAAACTCTAATGTCATTAGCCAAATACATCCATAGACCATATTAGACTGATGCAAAATTTGACTTTTTCGCTCCACAGTGCTTAAATGGTTTCAAATCGGGTCCTGATTAGCCTCCCAAAGTTACAACTCATTTGGATAGAAACAGACTTCGCACAAGCCATTTGAAGTTTACATGTAAATTACTATGGGAAATCTCAACTTTTTGTTCATTGCCTTCTAGTCTTTTTCCATATTGAGCTGCGAAACAGTTCGATAGCCATTCTTATAGAAAATTATTCTATGTAAAACGAGACAGGAAAAAGTTATTAATTATTTAAGAGATTGGTAAACTTATGACATGATCAAGCAGCTGCTCTGTAGGCAACACTGTATTTTGCAGTGTGACATAGTAGCCATGATTTTTGTGTCCTATTCAACGCCCCAGAAACACCAATGTTGCCTGCTGAGCAGTTGATTGAGCATGATCATAAGACATCAGCGCATTGAACCATTGATAACTTTCGATCCTTACATTTAATTAAAAAATGGTCTTCAGCAAAGTTGTAGCTGGAAAAATTTCCTACAAGTACAGTTGAAAGCTTTTGAAGCAGGCCGATATGGTGAATTATTAGATAGACATGAACAAAAATCTTGGTTTTACCATAGTAATTCCCATACAAACTTCAAATGGTTTGTGCCATCTCAGTTTCTCACCAAATGGGTTCAAATTTTGAGAGGTTAGTCAGGATCTGATTTGGAATCGTTTAAGTATTGTGGAGCGAAAGTTTCAAATTTTGCATCACTCTAATATAGGTCCACCGTTGTATAATTGGCAATGCACCCGTGTACTGAATGAGAATAGTGGGTTCGAATCCAACCGGTGTACTTAGATTTTTTCGTAAATTTTCTCACACACACGTCTCTTACCGATGATCAGGCATAGAAAATCATTTGCATTCAGCTCGTGCATTCATTTACACTCATTTGCCTCTAACTTTGTTCATCAACAAAAATCCTCAAAATGATGTATGGAACTTTTGTAGGTATTGCTATTACCTATAACGTTTGTCAACAACTTAAATCCGTATATTTTATGCATGACGAACCAGAGCGAACAGAAGCCACTACTGATTTTCAGTGAATGTATTTTACATTCACTGAAAAACAGTAACAAGTTCTGCCCGCTCTAATTCGATCTCTTATGCGATACAGATTTGAGTTATGAGCAAAAGTTGCAGCTAATAACAAAACCAACTAAAGCTCCAAACAACATTTTGCGGAATGCTGTTGATGAAAAAAGTTAGAGGCAAATGAATGTAAATGAATGCATGAAATGAATGAAAAATGATTTTCCATGCCTGCCGATGATATGTGCTTACCTCTCAGTATGTTCAAACTTTCTTACGAAAAATCATAAATGTTGAGCCGGTACATGACGTTTTGGAGGTGTCATTTTTAGGGCTCTACCTGTACCGGTTCCAGATATTCAGATAAGGCATGATCCACCCTCCGGTTCATAGCATGATGTCTATTTACTTCTGGATGAAAAATCATTAATTTTGAACCGTCGGACGGTACCAGTACATGAGGTTTTGGAAGTGTCCTTTTGTGCCCTATCGGAATCGGTTCCAGGTAACCTAAATAGTAAAATTAGAAAAATCATGGGCATGGTTCCATTCTAGAAACTTTCATCTTTCGTTTGAGGTCAATAGATCAAATATCGGTTCAAAAATGGATTTTTGGGAGTGAGTTGCAGTTTGGGTCTTTTTTGACCCACTATTGCACAATGTGTCATTTTCTTGTAGTGCCACTCCAGAGGTTGTTGAAAACTTCTTTTGACAGAAAAATGTTTGTTTCGGAATATTACGAAATGACAGGAAATTTCAGGCCTCTATCATGTTTCGTTACAGAGTTACAGCTTTTTTGAAGTGACGCCGGGTCATAAAAGACCCTAATGCGTTGGGGTTAAAGTACTACAAACAAAACTAAAGATCCAATCAAATTCCCGTTCGATTTTGATTCCCGTTTAATTCCCGGTCTAGTGGCCACCCTGATTAGTGTTCATTGTGTCCGTCTTTACAAAAGGCATCTTTAAGATGAATCGCTGTGGAAGCCTTTATTCTTATTAATCTCATTCACACCTCGCAGTTCCAACACGCTAACTTGAAAGTACCCATTAATGGTTGAAAAAGACCCATTTTGAAGAAAAGTGGCTTAACTCATTAAATGAGTAAATTTTTTACCCATTAATGAGTATCTGTTACCCATTAATGAGTAATTGTTAATCATTAATGGGTAACAGATACTCATTAATGGGTAAAATTGTTTAATCATTAATGAGTTAAGCCACTTTTCTTCAAAATGGGTCTTTTTTACTCATTAATGATTACAAATATCGGCTCTCACGCAACATACAGTAAGGAAACTGGAACTTAACAGGGAGTTCTACTTATAAACGATGTCGCAATCCGTGATTTGTGCTCTAGAAAGTGATAGGGATTATCAACCCTCATGACCGTCATCTTTGGATTCTTCAAGAAATCACCTTAACCCTGGTCATCACGGCTGGTATAGAATCGGTCTCCGGAAAATGTATTTTTCATTCATGATAAAACACGCCGCATGTTCACAGAGCCACAAATTCAGCCAAACTTATTGACCCTAAACTATGAATAAACGGCTGCGTCGACTCACAGATCATACTGGAACATAAACCTTATACTATACTTACTCTCATCTGACTGTGGGGCCGACAGGATGGCACTGTGCTTTTTCTTCACTTCTTCCACGTTCGCCTGGATTTTGTCGATCATGATACGGATCTCTTCCACCTCGTTGAAAAAATCCTCCATAAAGCTGCCCTCCACCGGCACGACCACATCTTCTGGCATGTCCTCATCGTCGCTTTGTGCCTGTATGTGTTTTGATTTCGATCATTCAAATGATTTCGAAAGAACGAACGGAATGAAGGGAAAGAAGAAGAAAATCATTAGTTGCGTTTTTATTGGTATGATGAACTTTGCTTTATAAAACAAAACGAAAATCTAAGGAAAATGAGAAAAAGCCAAGGCAAAAATAAGCATTCCGGCTGAAAAGAACGAATGCCGATCATTGACCTGGATAATAGTTTTCAAGTGGAAACAATTTGGAAGCTAGCCAAACAAACAATCCGTACTGCTTAACAAGGGAAATGGGAGTGAAAAAACATGGAAAACACCTTACCAACTATACCATGCGTTGGGTTTTCTCATCCTCACCGAAACCTGGAAGAGGAACTGCACGAGGAAACGCCCCTCGGGCACACCAGTCATAAATCCGTACGATCAATATTTTTTGCTCTCCTTACCTCACATCGGAACACGCGGGCAGGCTAGCAGCAACAGAAGCATCCCAGGAAAACAACGCAAAAATAAAAATCCTTTTTTCGCATCGTTCTTCTTGCCGACGATGAAACACATAAAATCTTCTGAATAGTTTTCTTTTCCCAAAACTTTTACCCAACCCAACTCAGAGGGACTGATGAGGAACGAAGTATCATGTTTTCCTACCGCAATATTCACGATGAGGAAAACGTTAAGATTGGTTCATTTGCAGTGATGGCTGTTTATTTTTTGTATGAAAAATAATTTCAAGCCGATTTCAGCATTTCCAGAAATTGCAGATTTCATCATTTTTTTTTTCAAATATAGGTACTTCAACAAAAACGTGAAACCCACTATCCGGATTTCGGTCCCTCAATACAATAATGCAGCTGGCACTCAAGTCGCAGTGCTGCTAAAAATAAAATCAATAAATTTGATATTATCGAGTCCCGCAAACACATTACCACCGACCGGCATTTCCACGGCACACAGAGCCTGTGAAAATCAATGAGAAAGTTACCAAACGAACCCCAAGAAAGGCTAGTCGTGCGGAAGACGTCCATCGCATCAGCAGCAGCAGCAGTAACTCGGTTCCAAATATTTACATTTCACTGGGTCGTAACGTATCACTCTTTTTCGTTGTCGTTTCGGAAGGAAACCGAATCCGGACGCGACTTGTACCCAGTTGGTACGTATAAATCACCATTCGCCTCCATGGGATCGCTTTCACTCGGGGTGGACCTGAAAAGGATGCTGAATGGTGGTTGTTGAAACATGCATGCGTTGCATTTGGCCACCGGAGGACAGCCGAGGACGAAGAGAAGAAGGTTTGCTTCGCGGAATGGATTGATGGCATTTTCGCTTTCCGTTTTGCAGCAGCCATTCGGCACACATGCTGGCGGCGCTCTTTAGTTGAGTAGTGGGTACGTATATATTTATATACATATATGTGTGTGTGTGTGTGTGTGTGTGTTTGTTATCAATGCGGGACTTGGGTGATGCTGATGGAGCAGGAATTTGAAAAATCCTCATTTAATGAAAGTTTCATTATCTGCAACTGCTAGAGCGAAAGCCTGCAACAAGACTCTGAGAATTGGAATGAGCGTCTGTCAAAATCTTCATGAGATATGAGCAAAAGAGAAAATGTTTGCAGAAGTTTCAAGAACATCAAAAATTTACATAAATTGACTTAAAGAATAGAAAACATTTAAGATTAAATTGTGATATGCAATTTTTATCGGCTGGGGATTTGTTTATTATCTTAGAACATGAGCCGAAGCGACTCAAATTAAGGCGTACCCAGAGGAAGTATAGTACACGCAAACCAAAAATCTATTACAATGAATGTTAGTTCCGTTTCCTATCATCCTCTGTTCATGAACATCGCAGCGAATGTTAGAAGTTGACCTTACAGGCGATGTAATGGTTTTTTGTCTTTTTCATTTCGTGTTCTATCTACGCTTTCGACTATACCAGTAAGCTTGTAGAACGATGCACATTGTAGAACATTGTAGAACGACGCACACACTTGCCTCGAATCTCTCCAGCAGAAAAAGCATACGAAGTCGAGTATGCGAGAAAATGAGCGCTTCATGTTTGCTTTTAGGCTATCCATATTCAGGAGCATGGAGAGAGCAGTGGAGAAAGCACAGGTCTGATAATCGAAGCGTTCTTGGTTCGAGTCCAGTCGGCAATCGGATTCCTATTTTTTTCGACATAACTAATTTACCTCACTAATACACTCTACATTTTTCGGTCTCCAATTTTCTTGCATTGGACCGCAGCTAGGTATATCGCATCCTCGGTTCATGCGGTCTCCACTAACATCCTCTGATGATGAATCCCACATAATTGTAAGCGAATCTTACATCCCTCGGTTGGGTGTATAGTATCCCCTAACTTAGTAACAAAATAAATTTCTTAACAAAAATATTGTTCACGAATCTTCTTCTCAATAAAGTGATGAACCAGCTCACGGCTGCATTTATTACTTTAATAAAGCTTTAAAAAAGTCTTTTAAATAAAATAAGGTTAAGCTTCAGGATCAAATTGTTTGATTCCCTTCTTTTCTAAAGGCCTCAAAGTATTTATTTCAGTTGCACAATCATTCTTGTTATTATCGAATGTTATTGGGCTGCTTAAGGCATTAGGTTAAATTATTTGAAACATTTTTTTTAGTATTATCTTGCAGTCAGATTTTCAGATCGTTTCAAAATCACGGACCATTTTTTTTTTATTTGTAGATTGCAGGCAGAGAAAAATATTTTAAAAAATTGAACTTTAAAATATGTTTGAGTAACAAAATCAAAATTTGCAAATTGAAGAAATGTTTCCTTAAATTTGGAAATTTGGAAACAGAACAGATAGCATTTTTGACGTAGGACTACGTCTTTGATTTCTATATGGGGGTACACTTTGTGAAAACCGAAAATGGAACATGTAGCAAATTAAGAAAGATTTTGAACGTTAATAACTCAGCTGCCCCTGGTCCAATTTCAATAATTTTATCACCAATCGATTAGAAATATGGAATGTTGATTTTCAACAAGAAACTTTTGAAAAACTGGTAAATGCCCAGCATTGTCCAAAACCGTCGAATTTACTAACAAATCCACCAATTTCCTACATGCATATGCTGCTTCCCCAGCACAGTCGTCAGAGAGTAGTAAGTAGACGAAACAAGTCGAAGTGGCATTCGCCTCCGATCCTCGGGCGCGTGCGAATAGGGAGGATGGAATTGCGTAATATTTTGCACACTCATCGACATACTCAGAACACACGCTCCCAACAACCACACCACTGTGTGGTGGTGTTCGGTCGTCGAAATTAGTAGCAGCAGTAGCAGTGCTTTCGGCGTGTGGCGTTGAAAATTGTTCTCCAGTAACAACGAAAGGCTGCCTGCAAGCAGCGAGCTGCAGAGCCCACATAAGCAACCATCAAAGGAGGAAGAAGCTGCACCGCTATTCTATGGATAGGAATCAGTAGCTCTTCGTGAGTCGCTGCGGGTCGGTCATCTATGCCAAGCGTGTCACCCTCGCTCCAAACGACATACAGCTCGACAGGCTCATCCGTGTTGAACAAACAGCTCAGAATTACTCAACCATCACTACAAAACGGTCCTTTTCAGGGCCACCAAAACTTTGTTAAAGAGTATTATTTGGACATTGGTCAAGGTCATCAGTTCCCGCAAGCAGCTAGCTATCAAAGCGCAACCTGTCTATAGAAGGTGTGGAATTGTAGGCCTGAATATATTGGTGCAATTAGTTTTTCCTCGGCTTTCATTCCGCACGATTCGTTTCTTTCTTTTAATCAATCACCCTTGTAGTGACGTCGAAAAGATTGTTTCAATCGGCGCTTTATGAATGGTTTGCCACTAAATGTTGAGATAATTTATTGATTATTGAATTATCACACTGTATACCATGAAAAAGCAGCCTATTTGTGAGTTTTTGCCAGTTTTCAAGTAAGGAGTTATCATAAGAAAACAAATCGCCAGCTGGTATTTCCCGGCGACTTTACAAATAAATAAAATCAAACAAAATCATCATGCAGAACTAGCTAGGATTTGTTTTACTTCATATTTCTCAAAATTTCTTTCAAGTGTTAAGACATCGTCTCCTGCAAAGTTTACATTTTTCCCTCTACCAACACATACATCAGGGCTAGATTCGTATCTATAGAATGCACGCAATTTCAAAAAACCAAAATGCACAGCATTACGAAAAGAGGTCAGGTTTCGACCAATAGCAGATAGATTTTAATTCTAAACAAGCCAAACGATTGGAAATTTATGTACCAATCTGCTAAAATGAACACTTAGTTAATTTTCAATAGGTCACTATAGAAAAATACCAAATGTCCAACTGTTGCAATGGTGATCAAAATTATCACCGAATGTCTGAAAACAGCGCATTCCCTAACACAGACTTAAAAATCGAATTCGATGCGGTTCCACTGAACGGTGCTCATTCAATCACCGTAAGTGGTGGTGTCCAGTCCAGCAGCAGCAGTAGTAGCAGCAGCAGCAGCAGCTGCTACGCTTTCAACAACAACAACAACAACGAAAGGCTGCCTGCAAGCAGCGAGTTTCAGAGCTCATATGAGCAACCATAGAGAAGGAGGAAGAAATCCCACCGCTAGGCTAGGATCGGAATCAGTAGCTCGTCGTGCTCAGCTCAGCATTACTACTCAACCATGACTACAAAACGGTCCTTTTCAGGAACACCATAAATTTGTTAAGAGTATTATTTGGACATTTGTCAAGGTCATCAGTTCCCGCAAGCACCTAGTTATCAAGGCTCAACCTGGTCTCTATAGAAGGTAGGCCCGAATGTATTGGTGAGATTAATCATCATCCGACCATTTTCCAGAACACGCTGGTAGGAAGTGTTAAAAATCCAATAGAATTTGGGAGAAGGGGGAATAATTCGCTTTGGGTGTGTATTCAGTCCCCAGAAAGCCAATAAAATCAAATTTGTGAGAAAATTAGCTCTCACAAGTTCAATCTCTCGAAGTCCCTCCTTTTTACATATTCTGCACAAACGATACAT